TTCAGCTTTCCTTAAATGAAAACTGTATCTAGCTCTGAAAATTGCTAATAGATACATTGAGAGTACACATTGCTAGAAAAACCGCAAATACAGGGTTATCCAAATTAAGTGTCCACCATTAGTAACTTTGTTATTAGTGAAAATACAAAGTTGTTTGAATTAGCAAACTAGTAGCATTTTTAACGCTGGTAAAAATGAGAAATAAAAAAAAAACAATTGAGAGTCGTTATTTTGATTTTTTTCAGTAAAATAACATTTTTTTTAAATGGAAACCCCTGTATATTATATTTTTTTCTGTTAAAGCATCAAATTTTAAACAAAAAAGCTTACAATAACTTTTCTCCTAGGTTACAAATTGTTGAAGTTATGGCCTCCAATCTGAAACAATTAAATTGTATCGACAAACTTTATTTTCAACATCAACTTATAATCTTACAAAATACAATAACAATTTTTTTTAAAGAAGATGCTCGAAAACACCACCTTGTTCTTCAATACATTTTTGGGCACGTTTTTCAACTGCTCGAACTGTCTTAAGTATGGTCCTACCATCTATCTGGGTTATCTTTTCCCTAACTGCAGTCTTTAACGCGTCAAGGTTATCGTACCTTCGCTTGTAAATTTGGTTCTTTAAGTAACCCCACAAGAAGTAATCAAGTGGGTTTAGATCTGGTGATCTGGGAGGCCACTGTATTGGGCCATTTGTTCCTATCCACTGATCATTAAAAGTAGTACTTAGAAAATGATAAGTACCTCTGGGGTTGTGGGCAGGTGCGCCATCTTGCTGAAAATGCAGATGATGTCTACTTATAAGATCCAATTCGTCTAAGAAATTAGTCAGAATTTCTGACATAAATTCCACATATCTTTCACCAGTTAGGGTTCCCTCATAAAAGAACGGGCCAACAATTTTAGAACCAATTATACCGCACCAAACGTTGAAACTGAAACGGACTTGTGGGCCTCTTGGATGTACTAACAAAAGATTTTCTCTTGACCAATAATGGTGGTTTTTTCTATTAAACATTCCAGAATTTGAAAAATTTGATTCATCTGTCCATAAAAGGTAACGAAAGTTATTTACATTTTGGCGACAGAAGCTAAGATACCAATGGCAAAAAACAAGTCTTCTCTCTGGATCCCCTGCCAAAAGCGTTTGAACTGGTCGGTACTTATACGGAATAAATTTGTATTTTTTTAAAATCCTTTGAACAGTACCATAACTGAAATTAGAGTCCTTGAGAATATCTGCTATTGAATTCTCACGATAAGCTTCAAAATATCCAATAACTGCAATTTCCGTGGCCTCGCTTATTATGAATTCTTTTTTTGCCCTTGTTTTAGCAAAAACATTTTCGTTGCCCCTAAATTTTCGATAAAGTCTCAGAAAATATCGTTCATACGGTTGAATGCGAGCGGGATATAATTCACTGTAGTATTCTCTTGCTCTCAAGGAGGATTTTCTGCACACTAAATAGCATTCTAACATATCACACTTTTCTTCATGGGAGAACATTTTTCTTTAAATTAATGACACAATAAAGCTTATAAACAAGTATTTACACTAATGTTTGACATTATTTGATTTTATCATTGTTTTCCAAAGCCTTCTAGTTGCGAGTATGTCCAGTTTAACAATTTGTCGCTTATCTTAATGCTGTCAAATCGCGAACGCCATGTTGTTTTCATAGCCGTCTTAATATTATAATACTGCAAATAATTAAAAATATTTATCGTTATTTTGACTTTATTTTTGACTTTAGCGGAAAAGTCATTATGAACTTTTTTGTTTAAAATTTGATGCTTTAACAGAAAAAAATATAATATACAGGGGTTTCCATTTAAAAAAATGTTATTTTACTGAAAAAAATCAAAATAACGACTCTCAATTGTTTTTTTTTATTTCTCATTTTTACCAGCGTTAAAAATGCTACTAGTTTGCTAATTCAAACAACTTTGTATTTTCACTAATAACAAAGTTACTAATGGTGGACACTTAATTTGGATAACCCTGTATATTAAACATCGCTATGAAAAATTATATATTTCATAATTGACCCCTATATATTATCTAATTTTGGAACTTTCTTGTTTTCCACCAAAAGGATCGATTCATTTCCATCCTGAGAAGGCCTGATTTTAGCAAACGTTATTTACTTTAACAAGTCGTTCATGTAGACAGTATAGATTTGGGATTATAAGCAAATATTCTTTTTCTTGAAAACCATAGAATATGATTCGTCTGAATACCACTCTATCACGCATAATCTACGACTAATTGTCTATTACATAAATATACTAAGTGACATATAAAACCGAACACCCAGTTTAAATTGTTTTATTTTAATAAAATTTTGTATAAGTACTTAATGAAGCATAATAAGTAAATTATTAAAATTTCAAAATCATTGCACTGCTTTAAAGCCCTTTGACTTTTAATAATGTGTGGATGCACCCTGATGTGCTACGCATTCTCCAACGCGCCTAGGCATGCTTCTGATCAGGTGGTCAATGTCCTCCTGTGGTATCTCATTCCAGGCAACCACCAACTTTTCTCGAAGTGCTTCTAGAGTCTGAGGAGGACGTTTCAAATTGAGCAATCTCCTACCCATCATATCCCACACGTGCTCAATTGGGGATAAGTCGGGAGATCTTGGTGGCCATGGTAACAATGTGACATCATTATGTTGAAAGAAGTCTATTGTCACTCTTGCAACATGTGTTCGGGCATTATCTTGTTGGAAAGTTGGATCTGCCAGGGTGTCAAGATAGGGTAAAAGATGGGGTTCTAGAACTTCGTGGATATAACGCTGCGCGTTCATGTTACCTCTGATGAAGATTAAAGGTGACATGGAACCATAAGCTATAGCACCCCAAACCATAACTCCAACAGTGTGATGAACATGTCTTTCAACAAAAAACTGTGGATTCCTCCTTTCACCACGTCGCCTTCTAACCCTGGTACGACCATCGTGCATGCCTAAACAAAATCGAGACTCGTCACTAAAGACAATACTGTTCCATTCCTGATCCCAGAGTGACCGTTGTCTGCACCACTCAAGGCGATTACGTCGGTGTTCTCGAGTTAAAGGGAGGACCCAGTGTGGCCGGTATGAAAACAAGCCAAAACTTCTCATTCGTCGGTAAACACTTCGCATGCCAATAGGTCTTCCGTGTTCTGCAAACCATTCATTTGCAATGGACCTGGTAGTGGAGAAACGGTCCCTTAAGGCCAATAATCTTAGGCGGCGATCTTCACGGTCTGTTGTTCTACGGCGGCGTCCAGTGCCCCTTGCTCTTTGCGTACGGCCTTCTCGAAGCCATGCCTGACAACACCTAACAACAGTGTCTACACTTCTTTGCACTCTAACTGCAATTGCCCGAAAACTCACAAACTCACTAAGTTGACGAAATGGTACAGGTCGCCGTACTCTAGGCATCGTAACCGATCGTAAAGGATGTCAAGAACCAAAATCCGCCAACGTTGATTCTTTACTGCGGCTGAAATATTCATTTTTGGAGCGTTAGTGAATTAAAAAAGGCAGTATAAAAACGTCCAACTGATAAGGATGAAAATTTTTTCACTTGTTATTTACAGTAAGATAAATACATTCACCAACTTTTATTAAAATAAAACCATTTAAACTGGGTGTTCGGATTTATATGTTACTTAGTATAGGTTGGATGAACATGTCTATAAATATACGTTTTTGCGACGGTTTGGTGTCCCAACTGATCCAGATCATAAAAAAATGATGCATTGTATTATTGAATTTTCATATTTTAAGTTTTGTATTTGATAATTTTTGCGATGGAAATCTTTCGGCATGTAAGTGAAAGATGAACCAAATAACGTTATTATTGAAGAGGATAACAGGCAACATGTAGTGATATACTTTTTTTAGCAGGCTAATTTGTTTCCGACTGACTAAATTTGGATTTCCAATTTATTCTGAAGCTCTTTTGAAATACAGGATCCGTCAGAAAGAACGCATGTTTTTCGAATGGGTACTACATCGAGTGGGCTGGTCCCGTGTCGGTGGGGAAGGGCGTATGGGATAGTGGGAGAAGTGCCTATTCAGTTGACAAGATGGTTTGGAACGTTGAGCATCGTGTGCTCACTGTATGTCGATACTTTCAAAATGGCGAGTCTGTCGTTCGAATGCAACGTGAGTTTTGCGTTCAGTTTTGTGTTCCACGTCATGGGACAGTACCCGAAACCGTACTGTTAGAACCCCCGAAAACGTAGACAGAGTGAGAGTTGACACGTTGCAAAGCCCAAATCGTTCCGACCGTTTACATGCCAGTTCCCTAGGGATCCACGCGTCCTCTGTCCAAGTTTGTCAACAACTGTTGCCAGGGGATTATGCACAACGTGTTAATTTTCATGATTGAACAGATGATTATTGGCCTTATTTTTTTCAGGATGATGGAGAAATAACTACTGTGAATTCAGAGCATTACATCCAGATGGGGCTACCTGAAATCAAAAGTTTACTAAAGCAAACCTCGGACTCTCGTCGATTTGAAGGAGGAAATAAGATGAGAAGTAACCCTAATTCCTGCACGGATGCTGGCCGACGCAATGGGCTCATTTCGGGACAGGCTTGATTCCTGCATTTCGGCTCAAGGGCGCCATATGATCGACATAGTTTTTAGAACGTAAATTTTGTTTTACTGAAAAAATCGGATGTATTTCTGAGTATTTTGATATAATAAAATATTTTTCCCATACTTATCTTGACTGTACTACTCATTTAAAAAAACATGCGTACTTTCCGACGGACTCTGTATTAGGAAAAATTTGCAAATGTTTGACATAGTAATATATGCAGGCAATATCTATATATGTCCATATTGACTTGGATTAGTTATTACACGGAGATTCGTTTTAATTATTTCCATTCAATATGATTTCTGTAATACAACAAAACGATGGTAAACAGTATGATAACAGTATATTAGATTCATTAAGCTTATAAAAACCTACGTGTGTATAGATTTTTTCTTCGGATTCAATCAGCGGTTATACCGTACATAGAAATGTGGGAGTTTTGTGTTATATAAGTATGGTTTTGACTGTTTAGTTGTTCGCTCTTTTAACAAGAAACAAGACGAACTACATCACTATGGCGTGTCTGTTGGTGAGTATGATAATCAGAATAGGTAATAATTTAAGACGAACATCCGCACATGATGTGTTATTGAAATAAGACAGCACAAAGTGCCATCTATTACCGGCATCGACCACTGCAAAAGTGAAAACCACAAGCTGTTTGTTGGAACTGTGACATTTCCAGCTTTTTTACTGGAAAATAGCCGGGATCAAAAATAAAGTTAAAGAACATGAATTCTATGTACCTTTATGTCCCATATCAATTATACATATGCGTACTCTTAAGGGAATCGGCACACGAGGGATGTAGATTTTGGTAAATCATCATTACCCCATGCCGGATAAGCAACAAGTAAACCAAAGCTCGTCTGTTTTGAATTAAATATTAAATTAAAGTGTCAGGTGATGAAGTTTCAAGTTTACGAAGTCATAAACGAATAAAAGTATTACAATTTCTATATTAAAAACAGCATGACTTCTAGAATTTTTAAACCACGGTGCTATGATCTCAAGGACGATTGGAATGTTTTGTTATCTCAATAGAAAATTTTGGTGCTAAATCCAGTCAGCTCGATTCTTTATGTAAATTATTTCCTAGCTTTTTTCCACTTATAATTTTTAGAATTAAAAATATACTAAGTGACATATAAATCCGAACACCCAGTTTAAATGGTTTTATTTTAATAAAAGTTGGTGAATGTATTTATCTTACTGTAAATAACAAGTGAAAAAATTTTCAGCCTTATCAGTTCGACATTCCGGTTTTTATACTGCTCTTTTTTAATTCACTAACGCTCTAAAAATGAATATTTCAGCCGCAGTAAAGAATCAAGGTTGGCGGATTTTGGTTCTTGACATCCTTTACGATCGGTTACGATGCCTAGAGTACGGAGACCTGTACGATTTCGTCAACTTAGTGAGTTTCATAGGGGCCGTATAGTAGGACTTCGGGAAGCTGGACTTTCTTTTCGGGCAATTGCAGTTAGAGTGCAAAGAAGTGTAGACACTGTGGTTAGGTGTTGTCAGGCATGGCTTCGAGAAGGCCGTACGCAAAGAGCAAGGGGCACTGGACGCCGCCGTAGAACAACAGACCGTGAAGATCACCGCCTAAGATTATTGGCCTTAAGGGACCGTTTCTCCACTACCAGGTCCATTGCAAATGAACGGTTTGCAGAACACGGAAGACCTATTGGCATGCGAAGTGTTTACCTACGAATGAGAAGTTTTGGCTTGTTTTCATACCGGGCCACACTGGGTCCTCCCTTTAACTCGAGAACACCGACGTAATCGCCTTGAGTGGTGCAGACAACGGTCAATCTGGGATCAGGAATGGAGCAGTATTGTCTTTAGTGACGAGTCTCGATTTTGTTTAGGCATGCACGATGGTCGTGCCAGGGTTAGAAGGCGACGTGGTGAAAGGAGGAATCCACAGTTTTTTGTTGAAAGACATGTTCATCACACTGTTGGAGTTATGGTTTGGGGTGCTATAGCTTATGGTTCCATGTCACCTTTAATCTTCATCAGAGGTAACATGAACGCGCAGCGTTATATCCACGAAGTTCTAGAATCCCATCTTTTACCCTATCTTGACACCCTAGCAGATCCAACTTTCCAACAAGATAATGCCCGACCACATGTTGCAAGAGTGACAATAGACTTCTTTCAACATAATGATGTCACATTGTTACCATGGCCACCAAGATCTCCCGACTTATCCCCAATTGAGCACGTGTGGGATATGATGGGTAGGATATTGCGCAATTTGAAACGTCCTCCTCAGACTCTAGAAGCACTTCGAGAGGAGTTGGTGGTTGCCTGGAATGAGATACCACAGGAGGACATTGACCACCTGATCAGAAGCATGCCTAGGCGCGTTGGAGAATGCGTAGCACATCAGGGTGCATCCACACATTATTAAAGGTCAAAGGGCTTTAAAGCAGTGCAATCATTTTGAAATTATTATCATTTACTTATTATGCTTCATTAAGTACTTATACAAAATTTTATTAAAATAAAACCATTTAAACTGGGTGTTCGGATTTATATGTCACTTAGTATATTTTTGTTAATTTTTTGGCTGAGAAGTGGTATAGTCTGGTAGCGAAACGGGAAGGAGTATCAAAACACATCATGCCCACTGCTAATGCAGTAGCGTACGATAGGTCATGCTTCTCTCTTCTTTGGCATTTGAGTGTAGTTAGTTATTTTCATCGATATTATCCTAGTGAAACAATTAAAAAGAAAGGAACTGACCGAATGTTGACCCACAAGTTAGATATATGTATGATAGCTAACGGTGTATGGTCGTTATATTTTGCTTTTGTAAAAATATACAATATTGTTTTTTTGGAAGAAGTTTAATTTTAATTTGATTTTTATGTATAGAAATCCTATATACCTGTGGTCTGTACGCAATAACAAAATGACATTTTCCCCATTTGTTAATATATGTTCAAGGAAAAACAGAAAAATATACTTTTTTCGTTTTCCTACCGATTTTGTCTACCGAATTTCAATGACACTATCTACCGATTACGTGTTTTTGGGTTCGGCAACACTGATTGTTACAACATATTTTGATGAGAATTTTAAAATAGGTTACTACTGTTTATAGAAACCTTTGTTTTATTTTGAGTGCGCTTTCTCCTCTAGAATCTTTGCCATTGTTTCTTGAATCACCCTGTATGTATATTTCAGAGGTTGCATTTATCGATTCGCAGTTTTGTACGGATTAATTGAGGTATGCTTCGATTTTTCAAATCAAGATCCAATCAAAATTATTTAGAACGATGTAGAATGCTAAATGCCTAAAATGAAAAATAAAAAAACAAGACAAACAAAAATATGTTTTTATTATTTTAAGCAGGAGGCAAAAAATATGTCCAGAGGAATTGAATTGGCTATATAAAACTTGCAAAGTTTTCTCTAAATTCCGCTATGCCAAGTATGTAAATCCAATCTAGTGATATTGAAATTGTTATAAAGAAAAACAAAAATGTGTTTTCGGTTTTTTAGGAGGCAAAAAATTTAAAGGGCGATGGAGGGGTGTTAAAAAACTCTCAGTTCTTTGCGACAAAATACTTCCCATTTGCATCAAACGCGAACATTATTAACATGTCGCAGCTGAAATAAATTATTCAAATGCATTTTTCAAAAGTGACGCAGTTTATCCTCGTTTTTCCGCTTATGGTTTGGAATAGAACTCATCTGAATCTCCTGTATATACATGTCAAACTTCCAATGTCAAAGTAAATATGTAAGGCTACATCCAAATGAGAGCGTTTGGAAAGCTCATCACATCATGCCAGAACTTATTACGTCGCAGGTTTTGCGCACAATTTTGTGTTTGAACTTTGAGAGGCAAGTTTTGAGAATTGCCGCTTCTTGTTCATAGAAACCATTCGAAATACTCAGAATGTGTTTTTTTGTGGCAAAATATTGAAAATCCGTTAAAGTAAAACTTTTGGAAAATATGCCAATACGTACGGAAATTTTGTACGATAGCTATTATTGCGCTAATAAAAAGTAGTAGCATAGTACTTTTAGGGGGTGGAAGAAGATTAAAAAATAAAAGCTTCTTCATTACTTACCGTTTACCAATGGCAAATGTACCGAAGAAGCTGTTGTTTTGGAATATGAGGCTGTCACTAGTGTCCATTTTGTACATTCCTGTGCGTCTTCTACGAACACTGCTGGAAAAATATAAACAAATTACTTTATTAGCTGTGATATGCATATTAGTGTGGGCGAAATTGTTACACGCAGGGCCATTCCCATTACTGATACATTTGCGAATTATTTACCATACAAGAAGGTTCATGGAACATACAAAATATAACTCTGAAAATACGTTTTCATCACAACAAATTTGCTCAGCAAAGTGTTGTACATGAGGCACACTGACCAACGGTTTAACTTCTCACGCCTCTGGCTTTTTTATCTGTGACATGGAAGTAACCTTGTGGGAAAATTTCGTCAAAATCCGAGTGGTATTTTCGAAGTTACGACAAAAGAGAACTTAGAGGAACGCGGTGGTGTGCCCTCCCTAGACGTCCAGGTCCAAAACTGGTATCCCACCCGCCGCTGTTCAATAGTCACAAGGGCTTAGAAGCTCAATCGTTGATACAGACGATGAAGGGGGTCATGAGATGAACCCCGCCCCTAGAACGATTCCTAAATTTGCCCTTAATAATATCTAATTTTGACATTGGTAATATCCGAATCTTTTATATGGACAATTATCAATTTTTCTGTGATCCTAATCGGTAGCTATCGTGTAAAAAGTTCGTCGAATGATACAGTGCCTCCCGGGTTATTAAAAACAAATAATTTTCTAGTGGCGTCATTTAGGGGCCAATGTATGTGTAAGGGAAATGGTGACGTCTAAAACTTCTTTATAAAAACTTGTCACATCATTTTCCAAATGCCGCCATGTGGACTTTGGATCCTTATATTCAAGCGCTACCTGATCACTTCAGCATCAAAATTATGGTGAAGCTGAAGGTGCCATTCCATGCGCGCGCACCTTAACTGGAATTTGTAATTCCTAATTTGACGATATGCGTCACTTACTCATAGTTATAGACATATGAACGCAACTTGACCCGTTCGATAATTAGGAGAAGAGGGGATTGAAAAGCATTATATATATATATATGTATATATATATATACATATAGAAAAAGATAGGTAAATAATGGGAAAAATCAGCAAAAAGCAGGAAAGTGGATTCGATCAGAAAATAGGATAGGTAACCCGAGCGATACTATTGCTGCTGGTTGGCTTCATCAGGCCCAAAATGAATGCACATATGCAACTATAAAAGTAGAACCACATTCCCATACATCCGGATACGGGTCTAACCTGAGGAAACGAATATGGAGAGGGTAAAAATGACACGCGAAGTCCACAACAAGAGCCAACCTACACATTGTAGGCGACATCTAACCACAACCACGCAGCCGGTTATAGCCACATGCTGTGGTACTTCAAGCCCAAAGGACCAACAAAGAGAAAATGATCATGCGGAGAAAGGTATATAACAAAAAATAGGTAAATAATGGGCAAAATCTGCAAAAAGCAGGAAAGTGGATTCGAGCAGAATATAGGATAGGTAACCCGAGCGATACGTATTTCTGCTGGTTGGCTTCATCAGCCCCGAAATGAATGTACATATGCAACACCATAGTAGAAACACATGCCCATACATCCGGATACGGGTGTAACCTGAGGAAACGAAGATGGAGAGGGTAAAAATGACACACGGAGTCCACAACAAGAGCCAACCTACACATTGTAGTATAAAATGGCTAGAAGACCTCGAATTTTCAAGGCGACATCTAACTACAACCACGCAGCCGGTTATAGCCACTTGTTGTGGTACTTCAAGCCCAAAGGATCTACAAAGAGAAAATGATCATGCGGAGAAAGGTATATAACATTTTTTACTATATTCCACTGCTCCACTTGATTCGAAACTTTCTCGTAGTGTAGAAAATGTTTCCGACCTTGGATGTCCCATATTAGGGTACCGTTGCTCATAAATGCGAGATGCTAGGAAACTATTTCTTTGGGCTTCGCCCAAAACGAACACCACATTCACCATTTCTTCTTTAGAAAAATTCATTTTCAAACACGTTTTTATTATAATGCTCACAAAGCTAATTTTGACGGTTTGTAACTAATCAACAATTTATTTGTTTCCAAGGATGATGCGATATTTTAGGGAATTAAACCGTTCCATAATTCTAATAACCGAAATAATAGCCGTACAAACCATTGTGTCTAATATTAAAAAAGCTTATAAAGAATTGAATCACAATTTTGATATGTAGGTCAAAATCGGGACACCCTGTATAATGACCAATATTTTAAAAATGCGCCCTCAAACGTCATGTATCACATCCCATAAATAGATTTTCCCAAAATGTATTTGTTTATGAGTAATATTCCGTTCACACATGGATGGGCCACCCTGTATATATATATATATCTGCCCTACTTCAACATATCCAAATGCACGTGAGTTTATGTACATTACAACGATTCATGGACATTTTTGCGTCGTATTTTCTGTAGTATTCCCATAATTCAGATGCGTTCCTCGAATCTGATTAAAGAACTACTTGCAACCAGTTACCGTGATTACTGTGATTCATGTTTGTAGATTAAAAAATGAGAGTATTTGCATGTGCATATCTGAATCAGAGTTTATGTATGTTGTGCGTAAATTGTTGTTAGTTGTTGTTGCGAAACTCTAGATGAGTCAATTGATCCATCTTCGGAAACATCCTTCCAAGGGTAGACTATTGATATAACACTGAAGAGCACCCCATACCATAACTCGTGGGATGATGTTATGTTAGATTTAAGAAGATTGGCCTGGTTCCAGCTTGATGGTTGTCCAGCTCATTATTCGAGAATAGTTAGAAACTGGCTGGACGAAAATTATCCAGAAAGATGGATCGGCCGTGGAGGACCAGTCGCCTGGCCTCCACGATCCCCTGACCTAAATCCATTAGATTTCTTTGTGTGGGGATTTCTAAAAGAAAAAGTGTACCAGACTCCCGTAACCACAAGAGATATGCTAATAGGAAGAATCAGGAATGCATGTGATGAAATAAGGCCTTATTTGAATAATGCTATACCACGTTCGATCACTCGTAGATGTGAATTGTGTATTGAACAATTGGGTTTACATTTCGAGCAACTACTTTAGATTTTGTATGTTTGTCCTAACTATCCAATAGCATTTTAGTTGTAAAAAATTAATTTAATTTGTTAAAAATAATATTGGATAATTAACCAAATTAATATTCTGTTTTTTTGTGTTTATTTGGAGTTAGGAATTATTGCTGTCTTTAAAAACGCAATCTAAACGATCATCTTAATTACTTGTGATGCCCAAATCGAAAATGTAAAAAAATATTATTTTCCCATAAATAATTAAAAATGCATCGAACCTTAAAAATCGAAATATCTCAAAAACGGCTAACTATAACGAAAACTCACAAGAGAGCTTTTTTATGTTGAAAAGTGCGAAGAATCAGTTTTTTTATTCAAAAAGCAAAAAATGCAATAAGAAAAATTTTTCGGTCATTTTAATACACTACAGGTACAGTAGAAAGCGCCCTCTAGCGGCTACAGTAAAACTATGGTTCGTTTTGTCGTACCAAAAAACCCTTGTATACCAATTTTCACTGTTATACATCAAATATTGTTCGAAATATTTAAAAAAAACTGTTTTAGAAAGTAAATTTAAACACCCTGTATTCCGGAAGCCACGCATTTTTCTACCCATGTTTATATAGACTTTATGCATTAATTTTAAAAGTTCTATGGAATCTTAAAGTTATGCAACAATAAACTGAAACACCCTGTATACTGTGTGCTTCAAATTCGACCTCACCATTGGGACCTCGGAAACGGTAACGGATATGAAGTCGGTTAAATGGAGGCAAAGCTGCCTATTTAGGTAACCAACAGAATGCCGCCTAAAATGGTCAGAAATTCGAAGTATTTCTGGAGAGAGACGGAAAAACCGAATTTTCCCACAAACGACTCAATTTTTTCTTGACTTTATTTGTAGGGGGATTGCAAAATAAATGGTACGTTAACATTGCCACTTTTCCTCCTCTACAAGATTTCATAATTAGAATTTCAGTATGGCGTTTCGTTCATGTTCTACAGCATCAGCTTTATTTTTTCTTATAGATGCCATATTGGATGTTTATTCAGATGAATCGAGTTTTTAATTCTGATTTCAAAAATGTATATTATGTCATACATACCAGCAAAATATAGGCTACATATAATCAGCCAGTCGAAAAATTATTGAAATCGGCCAATAAATGAAATTTATACTTAAATTTGGCGAAATCGAAATCAGTACCGCTCTTCGTTCGCGTCAGACGTCACACTTCTCTAGTGCCCAGAGTCTCGTCGCGTAGATGTTCGACAGCATCTGTGCGTTTAGTCATTAGTCATTAGTCTATAGACAATTCATAAGACACACCTGTGCGCTCGGACACGTGGTTTCCAATTGATAACTATTGAGTACTGCATAAGTTCAAACCATTATCGAAGCCGGATTTGTAACAGGGTTAAGTGACAATTTGCCCAAAAGCCCTATCATATACAAGCGCGGAAATAATAGGTGTGAAACTTTGGAAGTAAGTATTTGTGCCTACTGCTACGCTATCACAACTAGCGGCAAAATGTGCGATACCCTACTGAGGTTTTAAGCAAATTAGTGTTGATGCTTAATATGAGTACAGACTGGCGAATGTGACACGATACTTTTCTAAAATCTCATAAAAGTATATAATAACATTGCACATGCACACAGTAAAGAGTCAACCTACTTGACGCCTTTTTAGGGGGGGTAAGTGACACTATAGTAGCTCACAGCTATTCTCGCTGAAATGAAATAAGTGCAGTGACGTGAGCTTGGGAATCATATACTCGTAATAAATAATAATCATAAATAAATAGGTGTTATACAGGGTAGCGCATCGAAAACGAAACAGGCGCATTTACTGGTAGCTTAGTTTTTTTTGGAAAAACGCTCAGACCCGTCGATTTTGTTTTCGAGGGGGACACAAGTTTGGCAAAATATCACGTTAACACGTGCAGCCCCCTGGGCGGGGGTGACACCAACCCTAAAATCTTAAATGGAAAGAGGGATCGAGTG